GAAACTATACAGCTTAACATATAAAGTCGGATCGGTATATCTTTTGGACAAGCACACCCTAATCAACTGGAAACTATAGTCATCGCCCCGGCCCAGAAATAATAACAATAATAATAATGTCAGTAAGTGAAACTATACAGCTTAACATATAAAGTCGGATCGGTATATCTTTTGGACAAGCACACCCTAATCAACTGGAAACTATAGTCATCGCCCGGCCCAGAAATAATTGTCGGGGTTGATTACAATACTAATTGTATTTTTGTTCAGAAGTGTTTTGTGAATGTGGAATATACAAGATATCATATAGCAAACAAAGTTGACCCCTTAGGCAATAAGCGCTTAGTCCATTCAGAGTTTCCCGACACATTGGGCCATCCATTGACGATGCTTTCTTCCATCCAAAGCCATCTTTTCCATTTCTTCACGTGTGACAGTTCTTTCGCCGATATGTTTCTCAATTTTTTTTCCTTCACCTAAGAGTTGATCGTCGTCTTTTTTCTACTTCCACCTTCAACCTTCCACATTCATCACAATTCTTGTGTCATCCATCCGTATGATATGACCCATCCATCTCACTCTTCTTTGTCCGACTTAATTCATCAGGTCACATTCTTCAGTACTGCGATGTTCGTTACTTTATCCTTATCCTTGCATGACAATTTCAATTTTCGAGACAGGCTGTTCATCTGGAATGCCTTCAACTTTTTTCGTCTTTTCTGTACGTCTGCCACGTTTCGCAACCATACAGCAGGACAGGCACAACAAGACAATTATAGACTAACTCGCATTTTGATGGCCATACTTCTGTTGTCGAGTAGTTTCCAGAAAATCTTCCAAATGTGGTATTAGCTTTACCACTTCTGGTGATCACTTCTTCATGGCTTTCTCCATCTCTCCTTACTCTATAGTCTCTCCATCACATATTATATTAGGCTTTCCGTTCTTAGTTACCATTGCACCCCCCCCCCCCAATGTTGTACCTTAGACCCACCTGTTCTGCTTCTCTCTTCAACTTTGTATATTTTTACTGTTCTTCTTCAGTTTTATCCATAATAACAATATAGTCAGCAAAGTCCAGATCCAAGAACTTATTATTTTCCAGCTTTATTCCACGTTCTTTAGCTTCTACTTTCTTCATTACATGGTCAATTACCATAACAAGAATCGTGATATACATCCTTATCGTACACCAGAGTTCATTTTAAAATCCACCAGTTATCTTGCACTCTGTTCACCGATAAATTGCTGTCACAACACTTATCACTTTCTTTGGTATTCGATATTACCTAACAATTCTCAAAGCCTTTTTTCGATTTATACTGTCGAATGCCTTTTGAAAGGAAAGAAGAAAAAAAAATAAATCAACGAAATTTATGTAGACACGTTTCCAAAATTCGATAGACTTCTCAATAATTCTACGAAGCGTGAAAATAGCTTCTTGACATGGTCTACCAGTTTTGAATACAAACTGCTGTTTTTATGGCAATAAGCTGCCATAAAAGAATAATAATAATGTTACGACAGCAGAAGTCACGTGACGCTGGTAACACGTCACGAGATTCTGGAAAAATCGTGACTTTTCCTGGCGCCCTCTATTTTAGTATATAAACCCGGCAAATCATTGCAGGCAGATAGATATAGAGACGGATAATTGAGTCAAGCGAGCGGTAGTGACCGTAAGTAAAGTGCATGAATCTTTGTGAATTATAGCGTGT